GGCGACCGAGGAATATATTTTTAACCGGTTACATAGCTACACAGGTAGGTTTCTTACCTACCAGAGACGCTATTTTAATCGTCCGCAATTAAGCTGTATCGACGGAGGATCGCGTTAAATCGTAAACTGCATCTCACACTCGTTCGGTTTCTCTGTGCGCTCATTGTTGTTTTATACTTGGTTTTATGTTTGCGAATTGTGTTGGGTCGTTATCTCGCGAGGGGCCTGTGGCTTTCTAATTTAATTCCATCGATAGTCATATCGGCAAAGAGGAGCTAGTTTCGCGCTGCCCGTCATAGACGGTCCGTTCTCTTTTCTTTTCGGTCGCGGACGAGCCACGAAATTTCGCAAAACCGACCTCGACGGCGGCGCAGGAGTTCCCAGGCGGGGGTCGTTATCGCAATTATTTCGTTATTATCGTCCCGGCGGCTTAGGTCGCGCGGCTCAGGCGAATCGCGCAGGCAAGTTTCGGACAAAGGATAGCCTTGTGCGTTCGTGAGAGCCAGCTGTGGGCCCCACCATGCCCGGCCACCCATTTTCTAACCTTCTACTCTCGTCTAAACCGGATTGCCATTGGTCGAAACGGGCCGACGATTAGCGACGGGACCAAGGGAACGATAGGCACCGAGACGCAGGACCGTCAGACGTCGGAGGGGAAAAATATAGCGCGCGCGCTCGATTCTAAAATTGCGGCGCAGCGATTGGTCGGATGGGGCCCCGAGGCCATTCGATTTAGAATTGAAGAATGGTGCCGCTATATCCTCGGCTCGCTCGGAGGACGCCCGTCGAAAGTAGATCCTCTCTCTCTCTTTCTCTATCCTTCGTTCTCCGATCTTCCTTCATTTTGATTCCCCATTTATCAAGGGAACGACCGATCGCTTCGGGGACCGACGGATTCCATTTTTTACCGTAACGCACAAAAATTCCTTCTCCAATTCTTCCAAAGATTCGTACTGAGATTTTTCGCAATGCAAAATTGCAATTTCATTCCAAGATTCGAATTTGGTAGAGAACCACGCCGTGCCGTCTGGCATTAAAAAGGGAACGAAATTTTTCTGAACGTTTAATCGTGAAAAACTGAAAGGACTAGACACGGAGAAGGGATAATCGTTTTATACGGTGGAGAAGTTCCCGGGTGCGAAGTCTGCGTCACGATTGGCTTAATCCCGGGCGTGGTCATCTGCCCTACTTCTTCCTCTTCTTAAATGGCACGCGAGATAAGATTGGTTCGGCACCTCTCGCCTGGAATTTCATCCTAAAGGCGCGCCACCCGTCTAATTACTTCTGGAATCGATCAAGGACTCGAACTTTGCTCACCGCGAATATCCCCCGGCCGTCCTTTCGATCAGCCGGCCTGAGGAAAATGTCAAGTAATGAATTATATAACGGGTTCTCGGTGGTAGCGGCGCGACCATATTTTTCACCGAAACGCGAACCGTCCGTCTCATCTTCGCGTCGATATTAATCGCGAAAATTGTCCGACGTACAATAAAAGCGAAGGCGTATTTCATTGGAGAAAAGTCTGTCGCGGACACGACGAACGACTGGGCAGGAATTCATCGTTTTTCGGTTCGATGCGATTTACGTCATTCAGCGAACGTCTTTCGCAAGAGAGAGCCGCGGAGCTTGTTTCTGTTTCTTCGCTCGGTTAGCTCAGCCGTGGTGTACCGTTCGTTGCGTTCAACCGTTCGGCTCTAGCGTTCATTCAGTCGGAAATCCGGGGTGCCCGCGCGTACTTCGCCCGCCCACTCGAACGGAGAACTTCTTGGCGAGAGGAAAAAGCGCGATTACTACCTTCCCTGGTCGGATTATATTCTCTCGGTGGCCATTGATTACATGCAAGGTCGACGATGCTGCGGTCGCGGTGCAAACGGATAGACGAGAGTTAATCAGACCTTTCGAACGAGACGGGAATCTCAACCGGCGTTCACCGTCGAAAGTACATCGACCGTCCGGAACATTTAATTTCAGTTGTTTCCACGATCGAACGTCTGACCTATTTTCGATTAATCATACGAGCATTTACGATAATTACTCGATTCGGGCGGGCGTACGCCTCTTCCGCATCAGGTGTGCTACGAACGAGTCGGTGGAGTCCCACCAGACAAACAGTCTATCGTTCGCAAGCCGATCCCCTCGACGAAAGGGAACTCTTGATCTTTTTCGTTGTTCGCCGTTGAGTTTCTTTTGTTCGTTCCGCGACGGTACTTACTGTTAGATGAGTTGCCGTTTGACGTCACCGGGAAACGAGGCTAAATTTAACTCGGCGAGGAGAAAAAGAATTTCGTGCAACGATCGCCTTATATTCCGGACAGATTTTTTTCATGACTCACCCGCGCGGCCTTGAGTGGCAGCACGTTCCCGCGAGATGATGATTCGTAATATAATAATCGTCGCGGTTCTCTTGGCGCGCGCTCGATTACACAGAAGTTCGAGGCTTCTCTCTCTCTCTCTCTCTCTTTCTGTCTCTCGTTTTTCAGCAGATCAGGATTGCGCTCTCTTGTGCAACGAGTTCGCGGTTCCTCTTATCGATGCATTATTAAGACCTAACGCGGTTGCCGGCTGGAAAGCCGCGGGCGCGACGGGTGACACAGAATTTGTGGAAAATACCCGCTGGTTGGTCATAGTTTCGATTTCTGACGGCAGCGACGACGGTGTATCATTTGGCCGCTACGTAAATCGATCAAAATTAGTCACCCGAAGCGATGTAATTATTTTCGAAACGCCCACTTATAACCACACGTGCGAGACACTCGATTGTTCGAGTTCATTAGTATTCCTCCCGACGTAACTGGGAGACCAATAAAAAATGTCCAATTGTGTGCAATTTTTTTGCCGCTATCTCCGTTGCAATATTTGGAATAAACGTGAAATACGTATTCGAATAGATAAACTATGTCTCCTATCAGCGTTTACGTGATTAGTGTTTATTCTTAGCATATCTCTTGCGATTACGGCAACGTAATTGGCGAGGGTATTTTTGTACAACCTGCCGAACTATTGTGTAATATTATTAAGTAATGCGCGATCGGCTCGGCCGTGTTTTACGAACAGTTCTGAATGGCGGCCGTTCGCGAACGAAAGCAGCCGTAACGTTCAAAAAGTGATACGTTCTATTTCAGAGTCCGCCTGTATAAACTCAGCCCTGACCGTAATACTTGTCATACGTTTTTCTGACAGCAGCGCGTGCATGCGGACGCGCTCGTGTATACGTGTGCAGGGAAGTAAGTAGTAGACATACGTACATACGTTGGAGCGGCGCAGATCCAGTTCGCGTTTCCGCAAACTGGCATTATATACCTGTATTTGATAAGCTGCGTGGAGAACTAGAGCGTTTAAATAATGGCCGCTAATACAGCGAAGGAGAGAGACGAAACAAGGACTATCCGCTCCGATGCGATGGGGAGGCGTCGCTATCCGTTCGAAACGTTCGACAAACAATAATAATTTATTCAGATGTTTTTCATTGCGCCGCGCGCGTTCTCCTTTTACAGCCCCACCGCGTTGTTAACGCAACCTAGCCCGATCGATGTCCGACGAACCTATATGCGTTTTCGCGACGACGCTTCTTTTAAATTTCCATCACAACAGACATTCCAATTTTTTTTATTCATCGGTGACACAGTCGGACACCGGAAACGGTCCGCAGAGGCGGGGAACACGGGATTCCCAGTCTCGTGAAATTTTTACTTGCTAGAAATCGTCGAGGAAAATCGCTTAACCGTATCAAGATTCACCACTGAATCTGCTAGTAGATTTACGGCCAGTCGTTTCCTCGATCTTATAAATCGCCAACCGCCAGAGGACAACACAGCTACTTAATCGTGCAACATTTGCATCGACACACATTGTAGCCGGTTTAAAGTTCTGCGTAGCGGCAAGGGGGAGAGAGGAGATCTGAGCGGCCTTCGCGATTCGAAGGAGGGTTAATCGACGCTGGCCGTACGACAAAATCAATTCGGCGAGAAATAAAGGCGGCAGCCATGAAAAATCGCCTCGGCGAGCGGTTGCGGCAGCGGCTCGATCTTCTCGCGCACGCGAATTCCACCCACACACGCGACCGCCACCGAGTATTTACGTATACGCGAATCGGTCGGCGTGTGCCCGTGGCACACGCGACGACCAAATGGCGTGACAGTTATGGTGCATTTGCGGGACGCGTGCCGCCGTACCGGGTGTCTGTTTAGAATCAATTGACGCGCTCCAAGTAGGACTCCGACCGTCGCTAGAGTCGAATCCGTTCGCGGCCGAGTTCGTCGAGTCGCGAACGCCAGGTTTTATATTCATTTAACTGCCATTTGAACATTTTCGAGTATCATTTGCACGATCATTATACCTTCTTTTTTATTTTGTCACGGTCGCAAAGAGAATCAGATTACATCGGGATCGATCGTTTGGTGAAAAATAAACATCGTTCTGAATTTACATTGCAACTCGATATTTCCGTTGGATATTTATATTTGGAATTGATATCGGTCAGAAACGTTGTATTAAAAAGCCGTGCGGGTGGTCTGTCGAATAGATTATTAAATGCGGCGAAGGTTGCGTTTTGGCTGGCTGTAATTTTTCTCTCGTTGCGACATTTCGCAACGTGCACGTGTTGTCGGTGTCCTTCGGAAAAAGGAAAATAAAAGAGCGCGGCGTCCGGTCGGTTTCTCGAGCGTGCGATTTTCGTGGATTCCGCAAGTCGCCGGTTATCGCGGTTCACGGATCTCTTCGTACTTGCACGAGAAACTCCCATTTTCCACGCTTCTCACCCGCCTTTTCCCTCTGACGCAATCCGCTTATCGTTACGCGTCTTATTAATCACCGCACTGATAGACCGGTCTTCGCGATCTACGATCTGTCTTATCTCTGTTTTCGTTATGCATGCAAATGAGTAGATCGGATAGTGAAAATGATTTTATGACCGAGAGGTGAATTCGAGGGGTGTGGTTCGATCGGGGGTTGAGGGCCAGCGGCGGTCATCATTGTTTGATGTAGTCGCGGTGGTGTCTCAGGTCTGGAACGGGTAGCGGAGGAGTTGATGGGCCGTAGGAGATGGAAGCAATACCAGGACACCCTGTACAGCGGTACTCGCAGCAGCGAATCACTGACGGCGCAGCCCCACCACCGATTATACCCGGCGTTCTCGTCGTCCTGCGACCCGGTGCCCGGGAACCTGGAACAAATTGGGCCGCGTGCGATCCACCCGGCGGCGTCCACCTCGTTACCCACAACGATAACGACGACAACGACGACGGTGCCGCCGGGTGCGACGATACCCACGACGACCACAACGGCGACCGCGACGACCACCGCTCCTGGCCTGGTGAAACAGGAGACCCTGCAGAGGCATCACCTGCAGAACCACCATCACCTTCAACCCTCCGCGCAAGACCATCGCCACGGTCAGGAGGATCGTCGCCTGAAACCGGACGAGATCAAGGTCGAGGCCGCCGAGGAGGAATTCGCGAACGGCGTCGGCCGAGACGAGTCGAAAGACACGTCGACGGAGACCACGGGAACGACGACGGCGGCGACGACGACGACGACGGTAACCACGGGTTCGAGTACCACGGCCACCATGACCACGGGCACCACCACGATCCCGACGACGAGGCGACGACGCAAACGGCGCCAGAACGACGGAGATGCCACCGAGGAGGACGAAGAGAACGAGGAAGAGGAAGAGGGAAGGCAGTCCGAGGCGGAGAAGCGGTTAAAGCTCGACGAAGACGTTGTCGACAGGCCCGTCAGTCCTCTCAGAATCGAGGGGGATCGGGGTACTCGGGATCGTACGGCTGCCAACGCTACCGACATGGAAGGGACCAAGGTATCGTGTACAAGTCGTGTACTCCGTTTTTCTCTCGATCGTTATTCAGATAAATCGAACGACTGTTGAACCTTTTGTTACAGGAACGAGCGGAAGAAGTCGCGTCGGAGCGGATACCGGTGACGCAAGGGTTGCTGAGAGTGAAGAAAGAGGAAGAGTTGCAAGAAGCCCCGAGTTCTGGAGGCGGCCCGACGATACCGGGACCGTTGGACGTAGACGGGACCAGGTCGTCGATGCTGCCGTGCCGGGAGGTTGACGTGACCGCGAGGAACACGGTGACGCCGTTTCTCATCGGTAGCCGACGCACCAGTCCACCACCGGAAGACTGGAAGCCGTTGGACAAGTGCTACTTCTGCCTGGACGGCAAGCTACCGCACGACGATCGACCACCTCTTGTAAGTACCTGTCCCTATCATAAAACGGATGTCGCGAACGTATACGTGCACACATACATAACATACACATCGCGTCCGTACGCTTCTCTCGATGCGATCGCGTCACGGTGACAAATCGGCGACGAGCAATTAAAAGCTCGACGATGCGATTCGACTGGTCACCGTGACTCGTACGTCCAACCGTGATGCGATGGACGAAAGGAAAACGCATTAGCCGGACGCGAGATATCCTCAGAGCGCATAATTAATCGCGCGGAAGGGGCATCGCGTGTGCGACACGGGAACACAGGCTGACTTCGAAATCCTGGCACCGGAAGAATATAAACTTGTATCCGCGTGAAAGTGAATCGACGATACTCTCCGCGAGTGACGCGAATTAAAGCGTCTATTATCAATCTGGCGATAGAAAATTCCGTATCCGTGATACGGAATCTGTTTGTGCCACGATCTCGGGATCATAGCCTGTACAGCAAGTATTCTAGGGAGTCGATATATCGGTCCGTGTCGCACGTTCAATTTTTGATTTATCTCGCGCGAGAGCACATACATACACATACTTCTCGCCTTCGCGTACGCGGCTTTGATCGCTTTGACGAGGCGCGCGTCGCCCTTATAAAAGTTTCACGAGCCCTAGCGAGGGCCCGCGAATTCGATCGAGGGATTCGATTTCGACGCCGCCGCTGCCGCCGCCGCCGCTTCCTTTTTCCGTCGATTCCGTTTCTTCTATCCTCCCACGCCGGTGGTGGTAATCAAGCCTCCTTTTGCGTGTGCGTTCCCATCGTCTGACCAATGACGAGAGAACCTGGCCATGGCCATAACACTTCTCTTCTCGATGTCGCGTCCTGCAGAGCCCGCCGAGCGACAGTAGCAGCAGCTCGCGGTCGGCCGAGTCACCGATGTCCGCGGTCCAGGTCGACCCGATGGCGGCCTCGATGGTCGCCGCGGCCCTCACCGGCACCTACCCCACCTTGTTGCCCCAGTGGTGTCTGCCGTCGAGGGAGGCTCCTCTCGTCGGGGTGCAGCCTCACCAGGACAGCGCTACGCCGGCCGACCAACCTCTCGACCTTTCGGCGAAACCGAAAAATTCTCAGGTACGTGTGTGACACACCATCATCCTTCTCTGGCGTGGGTAGACTCGTTCGCTTCGCTCGCTCCTGTTCTTCTCTTTCTTCTCCTTTGTTTCCGTGTGAGAGTCAGTCGATCAATCATAAGTAGCCGTCTATGTCTCTCATTTACGTTCGACTCGCGACGCCTCGAGGTGACTCGCACGATTGATCGAATGGTTTTTAACAAAAAAAACACGTGAAACGCGATAGCGACGATGTGCGAGATCCGTTGTGTTCTTTCTACGATAGCGACAAGGTACAGATGTAAGCGGTGACGAAATCTTTGATTTCTGTTAATTTTGCATGCTGAATTATCGCACTTGATCAATCGAGCGAGTCAGCGTATTCTCTCAAAGGTAAACGCAGTACGGTATCGATGATATGGTTGTGCTTTCTGTCGTAGGATAACAACATATCTCTATTGGAACAACAGAAAATACCTCTAAGGATGACAGCAGGTATCGACCCCAAGAGTATCTTTAAGTAAGTAGCCTTTTTAAATCAACGTAGAGAATTTAACGACGTCGCGATCTACCGAAAAACAGCGGGAACGTGCGAAATATTTAGGGCAACCCGTCTCGCCGATCATCGAGACGCGTCTTCGATACTTTCCTGTTCACGGAAGTTGGATCATTAAATGGTATTCGCGTCGCGCATTCGAGGGGACCGCGCCGCATCGGGTTACCGGTAATTAAAAAGTTTTCCCCGCTCCCGTTGTTTGCTTATTCGAAAATTTTTCCGTCGACCGTGTCCCGTTTGTTCTCGAGCTACTCATTACGAAAATTCGCTTCGAAAAGTCAGTTACAATTTTTTTTCCATGCGCTCGTCTGTCCGGAGAAGAGAGAGAGCGTACACATCCCGCGCATTAATCTGTTCAATAGAATTCGCGTGCCGGTGAAATTATCGCGGCCATTTATCCGCTCGTTGCGAAACGAACCTGCCGTTCGTTAATTATTACCAGTGAGCATTAACTCCGTTGCCTTTAAATTTCAAGGGATAACCATTTTCACTCGCGTTATCTCCGCGCGATATTATGTCACCGATAATACGATCGAAGAAGTAAATAATAAGTGGATCAATCCGTTAACAAATTGACTTTCGTACTCAACTGCGATTCAGTTGGAACGTTTCATTGGAAACGAGGTAAAATCGTAGGCTTATCGTCGGTAGCCAAGTTATTATACACATTTCGTTCCATACGAATCAGCGACGGTTATCGGGTTTAAGGATCGCGCGCCCGTTCCAAAGGGTGCGTCGAAAATTGCAGAGTGAAACCTGGCGGGTCCGAATCGGCCGTGAAAGTCAATCGACGATGAACGGAAGTGAAATCGGAAGGACCTTGACTAGAATCGTCCAAGTCGAATGAAACATAATTAGTTTACCAAAAATTTATAGAACGGTTGATCTAAACGCAGCGTAAACGACTCGATATCGTTTCCCGGGCGTAAAATAAATATCGAGGCGACGGACGAGAAAGAAAAGACGAAGAGCCGAGGAGTAAAAGTCGCAAAGCGTGCGTTGCCCCCGGTGTTTTCGCTGTTTTCCCCTTACGGAACATTTTGCGCGTCAAATTTTTATCGTCGTCTATTATTAGTACACCGTAATCTGCACCTCCTGACACAACGAACACCAGCGAGAGTACCTCGGCGTGCGTCGCCGCGAGAAAGATCGAAACGCGGAGAGAAAACGGGACAGTGTTCGCGTTGGCGCACGCGCGGTAACGTAATTAACGATAAGATAACCCGAAACCGCGAGCTGTCGAAGTCGAAATTAGAAGCGCGGACGATCAACCGGACGGGGCAAGAGCCAAAGTATTTCCCCCGCGTGGAAAATTCGTGTAGCTCTTATCGACGGACCGCATACTTGGGACGTCGTCATCTTTCAATTCTGTGCGAATATCATTAAACGAAAATTGTTAAAATCGGTTCATCGGCGGTCAAAGATCAGCAAATTGTAGTACGATAACGAGGTTAATTGTTATGGCAGCAGGTATCGCGCGAAATAAAAAATGAGTAACGTCGGCAGCGATGCGCTTTTATCAGGCTGACGGTCGACGAACTCGTCACGGGGGGGGTGGGGGCCACGGTCCGCGACTCAGACGTTTCTTTTACGACGAATTCCCCCCGCGAGATTAATCTTATCATGCGACAAATTGCACCGGTCCCGATTGCTATCTGTCGCTCTGTTGCGTCACACCGATTCCACGAATCAAAATTTCTTAATGATAACAGAAAAAAATAAAAGAAAAAACAAACGTACAGTAAAGTAGAAATAAATTATCGTATATGTGCTAATTATGAAGGACGTATAGGCTGTATACTTAAACAATGCTAACGTGTTGAATTTGTTATT